GATCAGAATAGTCGTTTATGTGCCAGATATGCATTGCAAGCTAGTATCTATGCTCTATGGCGTGAGAGGAACAGAATCAGACATGGGGAGAAGCCTGTCCCTATGGTGAAGATGATGAAATTGATTGAGAAAGGAGTGTGCAACAAGTTATACTTGATGCAGTCAAAATGAGTTAAGGGGAGTAGGAACATTCTCCAATTTTGGTTCTCTACAAGATTGTAACTCGTTTTCGAGGGTAGTTTTTATGTCTAGCAATCTTGTATTGTAAAAAGGCTTTTTTTATGAATAAAATTTAACACATTCAAAAAAAAAAAAAAAGTTAACCTAGCTTTACTAGAGGTCCCAGATATCTGCTAAACCACATACCAAGCAATAAGAAGACGAAGATAAAAACAAGTAAATATAAAAAATCGAGAAAAGAGCAAAAGAAGTCTTATTCTGAATTCGTGGGTAAGCCTTTACAACAAGGTAGAAGCCTTGGCTACAAGAGCTGTCGGCGAGATCCCTAATTTTAATGACCTAAGACTGCAAAACCTAGTTGAGTCGCAGCTCAAATAACAAAAATGGAAAGTTACCTAATGCTCTAAGTGCTAAGTTTGATGTTGTGAAAGTCTCCCCTTTGCCTCTCGCCTAAGCCTCCTTATATACTTCCGCCTAGGTCGTTTTGCGCGTTCCCCCTTTTGCCCTTAAGCCGTCATAGCTTGAAAATGGAGATATTTCTTTTTTCTCGATCTTCGTGACAATCTTCGGAAACTTGACATTTATCCGCGGAAAGTTGACATTTATCTGCAAAAGACTAACATTTATCTTATCTTGCGAACCAAGCATAAACCATCATGGTGTCTATGGGCTTTTAGTTAAGAATTCATATGTGGCCTCCGAACCGCATTTTAGGTCTCTTTGGCCGTCTTTCGACACAGAACGTTTATTACAGTTTCTTCAGTTAAAAAGAACTTCCTGCGGTTTTTATCGTAAAGTCCGACTGATGACTCTGATCGATAAGGAACAAGGATTATTTAATTCATGGCTTTCACGAGATTGCAACAAAGAGTAGACGAGAAAGCACATATTTATGTCATAACAATGCTTTGGGAAAGTTTGGTCGCTACATAGCGACCGAGCATGTTGCATGATTGGTTGCTATGTAGCGACCGTTGCATGCTTGATCGCTACGTAGCGAGTGAGCGTGTACATGCTCAGTCGCTACGTAGCGAGCGAGCGTGTACATGCTCAGTCGCTATGTAGAGACCGAGCTTGGCTTGAGCTCAGTCGCTACGTAGCGACCGAGCGTGTTTCGTGCTCGGTCGTTACGTAGCGACCGAGCTCGGCTCTTGTTTGGCGTTTTCCAAGCGTTTTCCCGAGCAATCGGTGTTTTAGCTCTCGGAAATGTTTATTCTTGTATCTTTGGAGTTTTGTGTGTTAACTTCATCGTTGACCTTTTTGACCCCAACACAGGGAGCTTTATATTGGTGGTAGCTGAATATTGTTTTGTAAATCCCAAAAATTCATGTATTACACAATCATGACTGATGTCATGCACCAATTCGTTTACATCAGGATCATCCATTTCATCATTCAACTTTGGCGTAAACAGTCCATCTGGCTGTGTAAGAAAATGCCTAACACACACCTATAAAAGAAAAGTCATTCATTACTCACCTCAATTACTCAAAACGACCAACAAAAAAACACAAATGTAATGAAAAGATACCTTATCATTATGATCTTTTTTCTCTTCTATAATGAAGTCCTCAAACTTGAAGTGCTCTCGGGAGCCGCTCCATGAAAGAACAGACACATTTTCACCACCAATTTTGTTCCCGTAAAGCTCTCCTAAGTCAATAACAGACTCATATGCCCATATTTGCAAGATAAAAATGAACCCTTTAATGGTATAAGATTTTTTTGCGGTGTATTTGGCACACTTTACAGAATGTACCAAACTCTAACAAGCTACATGAACCCACATATATCTCTGAAAAGCTGCAAAATCATGAACTCTCTTCACACAGTCTAATGGAATTCGACGGGTGGGAGCTATTCCATAGAAGGCAAGATGAATAACACAAAGCAACCCACCCATTATTCTCTTCTCAAGATTCCTATCTTTTCATCTTTCCAAAACAGACCACAGCTCAACCAAATCAGGACCAACAGCTGTGGAAACCCCCATTTCTGTCCAGAATACTCTATGATCAACATCACAGATATCCTCATCTCGAAAAACATCACAATTCATCCCAGTTATCACCCCAAATTTGATCAAAGAGAGACGGCTACGATGATATTCAATCAATAACCATAACTCATGAATCTCCTTAACTCACAGCTGATGCGTTAATATGTGATGGACAACCTTAGCGCACCATATGAATTTGAGCTCATAAAACCGAGGAAATACACCAACTGAAGAATTCTTTACTGCATCCCATACATCAATTCCCACTCCAACTTTAACTATCTGAAATTTTGAAAAATAGCTATAATAGCACAAACTCTTATGTTGCCTAGGAGCTTTGTTTTTTTTGTACAGTAGACGGAGATAGTTTTTCTTGCAGCTAGAAGATGCTGTATCTATCAAAGAAAAAAAACGATTAGCATGAAACCAAGAATATACCAAGAGAATATAAAAAATTAAGGGATGATGCACTCAAATCATAGAAGCAATGTTTCTGTTAATTAGGAACGCTTCATAAACACAAAGAGTTGCTCTAACAGAAAAAAAAAATAAAAGTGGAAAATATGTCTTTGTTTACCATACATATCCCTTAACAAAGTATCAAAGCCAAATTAATTCAAGTCATTGAACACTAGATGACTGAATTTACTCAAATGGAAAGCAAACAATGAAGATACTAAAGTTGAAATCAGTTATCGCGTCAATGACAACAGAGATGAAGAGGGTGCATAGAGCCAAATCAGAAACCAGTTTGTAATTTCAGTAGAGAATACGACGGATATCAATGGTGAAGAAACAGAGGTTCTTGTAGCCACGGAGAGTTTGACGGCAGAGTAAACAAGAAGCGGAATCGAGCCTTGGTGGAGTAAGGTCAATTAAATCGCAAGTGAATCGAAACTCCTCTCAACGACAAACTCGATGTGAGTGTATCAATTAGCAACTCGCCAGAACTCTAGATTTTTGGTTTTGGAAATTTTTCTTCAATAGTCCTGTTCGTTTGGTTGCCGCCACTTTCTGCGGCTGCGTCTGTGGCTGCGGCTGCGGCTGAGTCTGCAGCTGTGGCTGCGTCTGTTCATTTGGTTGTTTTATAAACGCAGTCGCAACCGCAGACTCAGCCACCGAATTTTGTTCGTTTTGTAGACGTAAGACACAGACGCAGACGTAGCCGCAGCCGCAGAAAAGTGATTTATGTTGTTCGTTTGGCAGACGCTGCGGCTATTTTTATTTAATTCATGTTTTAATTTCAAAAATTTGTAAAATTGTATTTTAAATAAATTTTTTTTATCATAAGTTATAAGCTAAATGAAAACAAAAATAATATAATATTTATTACAAAACAAAAGCTAAATAATACTTCAAGTCTTAAACAAATATTCTTTACATAAACTTTTACAACCTTTATACTTTGTTTAAATCTAAAAAAAAACAAATATTTGTGTTACATATTTTAAAGAATAATTACTAGTTTTCTTAATATAATTATAAATTATTTTTTAATAACAAGATATATTTGAAATATTGTTAAAAATGAATAGAACTATTGTATGAAAACCCAATTTTTTTTAATACACTTTCTCTTCTTATTTTTCATAAAAAAATGGAAGTACTACGTGATTGTTAGGCTACATGAGAATCCATAAACTCGTGTTACATAAGAAAAACTCTTCAACCTCTAGTTATATAATATTCACAATGTTAAGTTCACAAAAAAATAAACTTGAAAAACAAGAATCAATACTCAATCCAAATGAATAACCACCTCAACTCCTCACAATCTTCTTCTTCCTCCTCATGTGATGATACTCTCGCACTTCTATAAACAGTATAGTGTCCGCTTCCGGTCATACCAAAATGTTCCACCACTGTCACAAGCCTATACATGCCTAACTATTAATGTTTTTACAAATATTAATAAATTAATTATAATGGTATTATTGTAATAAAAATCAACTCTAGTGGTTATTTGGTCTTTATATATGTGTGGTAACAAGTATCCATGACATGGAGTTAGTCCAGTAATTAGTTGAAAAATAAGAGTCAATCTAAGTAAATTTTTCTTTCGGTTATGTTCTAATCGTACATCTTCAAGAAAGAGTGGTAAAGCCAAAGCTAGAAGAAAGCACAAAAGCACCCGCTGGAAGAATAAAAGAAAGACAAGGAAAAGATGAAAAGATTTCTAAATGTCATAGGTGGAGACTTTTTTATTTTAATAATTAAATATTTAAATTTTATAGATGTTTTGAACAAGTGATTAGACTTCATATAGGGGATTAAATCAGATTATTATTAATCTAGCTTATAATCCACGGCCGTGTCAAAAGTAGGCTGGGCATTTTATTCGTTAAATTTGATTTGATTCGTTATTTGTTTCGTTTCGATCCGAAAATTCCGGATATCCGTAAACTTTCGAATCAAAGCAAATAATAAAAATCAATATCCGTTAAAATCGAAGCAAATCACAAATATTAAAATTTTGGGAAGCAGATATTCGATCCGATCCGGAAATAAAGATTATGTAGTGTTTTATTATAAAATAGGCTTCACTTCTTAGTATAGTTTGAGAGAAGAGCAGAATGCAACACGAGCGTATCAGAATGGATTCTCACTTATGCATGTTGCTCAAATGCTGAATTCTGAAAGTCTGATGAACAAATATAAGAAACTCAACCCAAACTCCACTTGTAAAAAAAAAAAAAGAAAGACTCAGTATCGAACATTTATGCATAGTTAATATAACTAATTTAAAGATAAGATTACAACATCCAATTCTAGTTTCATCATCCCTATTGCAGGCTTTGTTATTAGTTTTTTTGGTAGCCTCTCAGAAATCCGACTCGAAGGGTTTGTAAGTCTTGATTTTACTAACAATGCCAACTACAGATCCTGCTGCCGCCGCTAAAGAGACAATAAGACAAGCTAAACTCAAGACTTGAAGACAAACCCATCTTTTGCTCCAACTCGGCACATTCTTCTGTGCAATGTACATTTCCACAGGGAAATAAACCGTTAGAGGCCAAAAACCAATGGCCCCCAAGAGACCAACAACATCATTAAAGAAAGGCATTAGCATTGAGATCAACGTTATTGTAATAACAAAGACCGTCCTCCACACGAGCCTAAAGAGATTCAAATTGAAGGGTCGAATCTTGATCTCTTTTGTGACGAACTTGCTCTCTGGATACATCTTGGACGCTTTTTTCTCGACAAAGGCAAAGATTGGTTGGGCATAGACTTGGTAAGCTCCGACAAGATGGATTAATATGGCGAGATTGGCTATGTTAAGCAACCAATACGGGTTTGTGAAGCCTCCAGCAGCCAGGAGGTTTCCGGGTGCAGACTCTCCGAATGCTGCATACCCTACGCAGCCACAGAGCGTGTAGAAGAAGGTCGTCACTGCCACACTTACAAGAGCTGCTTTCTTCATCGTGCTTTCTTCATCAGGCGGTGATTTTAGCGTGTCCTGCAACAAATTATACATTAAACCAACTCTGAGCTATTATTGTACGCATAGCCGGATGTGGGCACAACCAAACATTGGCTTTGGCCTCAAAAAATTTTGGAGTTTTTCTATATAGTATATGTCTCTAAATTGTGGAAAAAAAGGAAAATCTACCAAAATTCTTGAAACATATTTCAAGCCCCCCGCCCCAAAAAAAATCTCAGCTAAGGCCCTGATTGTATATACACACACTCGTATATAGAAATAAAATACCTGAATCTCAACGAAAATCATGGAGTAAGCATAGGCAAACGCAATATTTCCAAGAGCCTGAAAGGTTCTCCACATTTTCTCGGTCGGTGTCACTGTCCCGATGCTGATTCCAGTGAGAGTGCCTTTAATCTCTTTGTTCTCAACCAATTTGGAGATTCCAAGGCCAAGCCCAATGGTCGAGTAACCAAAAGACATGACTGCAGCAACAAGGGATAGCCACCATAACTGATCAAAATCAGGAATCTGAGATAATATGATTTGAAGTACACCGAACCCCATAGTGTAAGCATTGCCATTGACAGGACAAGGTTCTTTTCCCCCATTGTTATGTTGGCAAGTTGTCCTCTGGATTGCTCTGTTGTTTTTTCCCCATCATAATTAGCAGAAAACAACAAATAATTAAACCAGGAATCAATCACATATTTTTGGAACAAGTAACTGTTGCAGATTATTTAATACTATAATGTCTCATCGACTATGATAGTGAGAAACAAACAAAACAGTTGAAAACTAAGTTTGAACATACATGAGACTTATCGCTGATGCAATAGTGTAACCAATTGCAGTACCAAAGAGATTAACATACTGCACAATTCCACATAATTTCACCTTAATGCCACCTGAAAATTTTACAAAAGAAATCAAATGTCAATACCCTACAAAAAACAGCTTACATAGTTTAATTAACGGACTTTATTTTCAACTGCATTACGGTTTTTTTTTTCTTTTGACTATTCTACTACTATTCATGTGATTATTCTAAAAGAAAACAGAGATGGGGAGATTTACCGAGGTTGGAGTGGATAGCGTCCATGTAAGTGTAGTTTCTCTTGCCGGTGACAGGGTCCCCCGAGCGGTAACAAGAAGCGAGGAGAGTAGAAGTGTAATAACTGACAAAAGAGAAGAGTAGCATTGCCACTGGACCAGCCACCCAACCAAGCTGAGCAATAGCCCAAGCCAGAGACAACACTCCTGACCCAATTACTGCTGTTATGATATGTGCACTTGTTGTCCACACCGTCCCTGAACCACCCCCAATCAAATGACAACAATATTTTAACCTCTAGAAAGGGCCTTTTTCCAAAAAGTTTAAAAAAGAGAGTCAAACTTGCTACTTGAAGCGTCTACAAAGGAACCACAACAATTTTCGTAAACGTGAAACTCACATGGATACATTTTCCCCCACAAAATCATGTTTGTTTTTATAAAGTACAAATGGTTGCAAAATTAGAAGAATAAAAGTGGGCTGGTATAAAAGAATAATAGCATTACTCTATTTCATTTTTTCCATTCAAATTCGTGCTTAATTTCTTATGTTTACTGGTATAAATGATTTATTTTCAAAACAATTAAGTTCATTTTGACCTAGGTTATAATTATAATAACCTAGTTTAGCTTCAATCAAATTGAAAAGTTAATTCATTTAAATTAAATGGATAAATTTACCTGTTCGCTTGGGACGGCCATCATCGTCTAATAAGTCACTGCTTCGAGGAAGTACATCTCCCTGAACATTCTGGAAATTCTCGACCATTTTCTTCTATTTGACAGAAAACACTATTCCAAATAATACTCAAATTATATTTCTTTTCCGACAGAAAATTGCTTTGACGTTTTTGGCTGTTTTATCGGTTATATCACGAATTTTGAATGGAAAAGAATTAAAGAGAGATTATTTTTCTTTTGCCAAATATAACAATGGTCAGGAGAGAAAGATGTGTTTTGGTTTTCTCTGGACCGAAGATTCTGTAATGGGAGAAAAGAAATTGAAAAGAAAGGTCTGTGAGATTGTAAATACCTGATAGCAGAATTCACTGAAGCTAGAATTCATTAAATAGATAGAGCCTCATGGAAGACTAAGACATCTACACGTACATGCAGTAGACAGGAGAAGAAACCGCATGGGCTTCTCTTTCTTTCTTTCTTTCTTTCTTTCTTTCTTTTTCTTTCTTTCTTTCTTTCTTTCTTTCTTCCTTCTGTCTCTCTATATAGTATAAACTCTATGAATTAATTGTTTTGATAAATTAATAAATATCATAAAATAAAAAACTTATCTTGTAAAGTAGAGAAGGGTAAAATAAAATTAATATCTATCTATATTAATAGAGTTAAATCGTCTCTTCTCAACTTGCTACGGAAACCTGAGTGGACCACTTCATTTCAATTTTTAAATATTTACAAAACTTGTTACATTTTTCATGTTTTTAGTATTTAAATCAATTATCTTAAAAATTATCTAATATATATTTTGTTTTTAAAAATCTTTAATATCAATATTTTCGTAAAAGTGTTTGTGAAATTTTATAATATAACTTAAAAATACAAAACTTAAATAAATAATACATAAAGAAAATTCATAAAAAACCTAAATTATGATAATCTATTTACGATTTTTTTTCGTGCCTCATCAAATAAAGTCCAGCAGAAATAAAAATAAATAAATCTCTACAACTATTTCTTTTCTAGGTAATTAGACTGAAAAATCGACAAAATATGATAGACAACCACATTTTAGAATTAATTTAAAATCATGATAGATTTAAGAAAAAAGTTCAGTTTGAAAAATAAATGAACAAGATGTAACAACATATAAAGTGCACATATTATCTCTTAACCATTGACTTTTCACAACTCAAACAAATAATTTAGTTCTTTCCCCAACGGTTTTACCAAAAAAACAAAGTTAATTATTATATATTAGATTGTTACATTGAAAATATATTTTCTATTATAAAATTAAAATGAATTTTCTGACTGATTTGTAACTTTTTCGTGCTTTAGGTTTTCCTTATTTGTCATTTTTTCATAATTTCATATATAGTTATTATATAAACAAATTTATATTAATAATATTATATTTTTGTCAAACAAGATGATTCTTACGTATTATATTATTATCTTAAAAATGTTTTTTGATTATTAAAACTTAAAATTAAAATATAAAACAATTATAATTAAATATAAATAAATCAATATTAATTTATCAACTTCTCCATGATTTTAGGTAATTTTATTTATATGTCATGTCTTAATAATTCCAAATAAAATTTACAATATAATAGAAAAAGAATTTATATTAGTAATATCATTTAAAAAAGAAAAAATCTTATATGAATTAGATTGTGATCTTGAAAATATATTTTTTGTTATAAAATTTAAGTAAAATGTTTTATTTGTAAATTCTCCATGATTTAGGTCATTTACTTTATTTGTCGTAATTTCAATAATTTTCTATATAATTTATTATATTACAAATTTTTTTTATTAATAATATTATATTTAAAAAAGATACTTCTCATGTATTATATTGTTATCTTAAAAGTAAAATTTTCTATTATAAAAGAAGCTAACATTTGAGAACTAATTTTCTAGTTGTCGACTTCTCTTTGATTTTAAGTAATTTTGTGTATTTATCATGTATTAATAGTTTCGTATATAATTTATTATATAATAAAAACGAATTTATATGAATAATAGTATATTTTAAAAAAATAAGCTAATTATTATGTATTAGATTGTAATATTGAAAATATAATTTCAATTATAAAATTTAAGTGAATTTGCTAATTGATTTGTAACTTTCTGTTTTTAGGTAATTTTGTTTATTTGTCATGTTTTTAATAATTTTATATATAGTTTATTATATAATAAGATGAACTTATATTAATAATGTTATATTTTTATAACAAAAAAATTACGGTGTTATCTTGAAAATATAATTTTCTATTATAGAAACAAAAATTTAAGATATAAAAAACTATAGTTAAATAAAAATTAAGCAAAATATTTGTATAAACATAATTTAAAAAATATTCTGCTATGATATTGTTGTCATTATAATTAATTTTAAAACATAAATCATAGTTTATTTTTAATTTTTGAATTAATAAATCAATTGATTGTTGAGTTGTTTTCATGCAGGTTTCCGTTACTTAGAAGTTGGATCATGGCAGGAGACCGAGTATAACTGAGTAATGGTTTGATTAATTAATAGTTGAGATTAGGTTGATGGATTTGATAGCATGCTTAGTTATTGGTTGAGAATCGTAGTTGCATGCTAATTGTTAGGTTTATTGGTTAGTTAGTGAATGCTGAATGCTTAGATAATATCGCTAAGTTGTGGTTAGTTAGTTATTTTTGGAATTAGTCTTTATGCTAGATTATGGAATGTGTTTGATTTTTTGTGATTATTACTTGAAACCTTGGTTATATTACCGAGTTTAGTATTAGTTATATATTGCGACAACATTTGTGTAACCCACAATACTAGGCTTATTGGGGGTGAGTTAGTGTTCCTTCAGATCCCGTACCCAACGGGTTCAAAAAAACTCCTTATTCACTGGATTGGGAAGACTCAGAGGAACGAGTCATGGCCAATGGCTGAGTATTACACGAGGGTGTAATGTGGCAGTGATCCAATGGACTATAGGCTGTCGCGCAGTAACCTGATGGATGTGGGCCGCGGTCAGTTGAAAGTTCCTTCTTTCGGCTTTTAAAGTAAGGAGATAGGATATTGCCAAAGTTGAGAAGGAAAATGAAGTCAGTGGGGCCCTAGTTAGAATTCAATATTGAGTTAGAGTGTTGTGTCAAGTTAAGGATACGGCGTTACGAATTAGAGTATAGTCATGGTTAGTTAGGATCTTGCTATTTTGATATTGGTGATTGATTGTTTTGCAGGTTCCTTACATTAAGACCTAATTCCGGCTCAGGTACCAGATTAGGCTTGGTGTTTGTTTTGTTAGTGTAGACCCGAAGTTGGCTGTTATATTGTTTGAGGGATTGCTTATAAAGGGTGGTGGATAATGAGATCGTAATAAATACGACTTAACTCCTATTCGTAACGTCGTACTTAGTATTCGTAAGAAAACCATGCCCGTATGTGCGGATTAAACACCAAGTATCACCATAAACACACAGACTTTGGACCCGTTCTATTTCTCCCTAAATTAAATTTTGAATCCTATACAAAATCCAAAAGTCGAACTCTATCTCCCCACATCTTCCAATTTATACACTGAAACACACATAAACTTGGATTAAAGTCAGTTTACAGTTTATTATTAAACTATAACCCATTGTTCCCTAACCAAAACCGTGATTAAACTGAAATGATCAACTTAAGATCCGAATAAAACTTGATTAAAACCTGATTATAGTCTAAATGTTAGTGGTTAATCTCCAGTTATGTTCATTGACACTCAAACCCTAGAAAGAGTGAAATAGATGCGACGGCGATTTCTCCCAAATCAAAAGCTTTAACAGAGGATTCCGGTTGATCATGATCCAAAACAATGGATCCATTCGGTGAAAACACAATTCCTTCCCTTAGGGATGAATTAGATGACGAAGAAGAGTTGGAGACAAACGCTTTATGAATAGAAGAAGACGTAGCTACGCTTTATGAATAGAAGAAGACGTAGCTGCATTCATTGACAAACTTTCGTTTTGGCATTACATTTATCTTGATAGCGAGACTGACAATTATGAAGATGAGGAAAACAATGATGAAAACAGAAAATCAAGCGACAGAGGACAAGAACATTATCGAGTTAGAAGAGGTGATGGGAATCTGTTTGAGGGGCAACTATTCTTCAATGGAGTTTCATTCAAAGATGTGGTATTGGACTACACTCTGAAGACAAGTCACAACATCAAACAGCATAGGTATAAAAAAACTAAATTTTGTTTTAGTTGGGTCGGAATGTTGATTCATAGTGTCAATGGCTAATGTTGGGATAGTCGAGTTTTAAACATTGGATTGACGAATTATATTCAAGTTTTTTTTATTATACTTCTTTTAGTTCGTTGGTAGTTTTTTGGTTTTTGAAATGTTTAACTTGTTGGCTTTGTCTCCCCGATGTGGGGTTCTTGTCTCTTGTCCCACCGGTTTGTGGCTGAAATCTAGAGTGTGGCCTTCTCTTGTGTTATGTATGTAGAGTTCTTAGTTTTCACAAGAATGGAATGAACTAAACAAGGATGATTAAAAATATTATGGTGGAAACAAAAAGAATTTCTCAAAAAAATTTATAATATGTTAAATTTATTTTTTAATAATAATAAAATTATGTATCATTTTCTAATTTTATACAAGTTAATTTAATATATCTTAATAAAAAATGAAAATCTATCTAAAATTATAATTTTAAACATATACATAGAAATACAATTTAAAATAAATCAAACTGTTTATTTTATATTAATTTTATGTTTAACTAAATCAAAATTTATATTAAAATATTGACAAAATATATACAAATCTAAAATAGTAACAAATTTGTTTTTAAAATATTACTTAAACTTAAATTTTTTACTTTTGTATATGGTATAAGAAAATATCTAGTTAATTAAAATTGATATGCATCAAATCTTTTTTGTCTTGGGGGTCTGGAAGCTTAATAAGATTTAGACCTTAAAGATTCGAAAGATGGAAACTTTACAAGTAGATCATTTATGTATGTCTATATTTTGCTATTAACTAATATTTGGTAGACTGCCTACTTTCTAATATATAATTTAGTCAGTTGGGCAGCTTTT